ATAACTGTTATCTATAAAAAAAAGATGTTTTTTTAAAAAAACCGTGTCATTGATTTGGTTTTAAAGTGAAGCTATAGGTGCGTTGCAAAGAACGCGCAGCTGCAAACAATTGTACTAGGTAGCACTTAGCTTTGCGCCTCTCGATTTTTCACAGCATCATCACCGCCGTTCTTTCAAGACGTTCAGCTGCGTCCCAAGACGCTATTTTCGTCATTTTTCCTGCCTCAGGAATTTGAATGGCACAATAGCCCCCCATTTTAAGGAAAGGGCGCTCAAAATTTCGCGAGCCGGTGCGTCGACTCAAGAGCCGTTCTTCTTCTTTGACGCACCAAGGTACAAAGCCCGCTGAACGTCTTTCTGAAGTTCGTCGAATTCAAATACGAATACAACTCCATGCAGCAGAAGTGCATCGTGAAAAAGGAACTTCGAGAATCGCCCGTTCGCTTCGTGGGACTCACGAGTAGCACTCACCACCCGGGCTCTACTACATTCTCACCCCAAATCTATTGTTTACCCCTTTTTACTCCAAATCAGGCATGACTGGCCCAAATTTTTGGTACATTCGCTAGGTTTTGAGAATAGGCGATGAAACGCGTGCTTCACAAAGCCCAGAATTGGCTGTCTGGCTCTGGATGGAGCGCGATCTCGCCACTATCGGCCTGATTGTACGGGCCGCGTAGTTCCAAGATTTCCACCATGAGTCTTTGCTAGTTTCCGTGGTTTCTTATATAAAATTTAAGTCTTAAATTATTTATGCTGTGGTTTCTGGGGCTTATACCACACGTAATGCATGAATCAAAGCGGAAAATCTATTATTCCGCCCGAGATTGGTTTCCGGAATTTTACGGGGCGCTTATATTCCTCAAGAGTCTCTACTCGCTACCCTCCCCTTAGCATCTAAGTTTTTCTACTGGGTGTTTCTGCTACTCTATTAGCGCATGCTCTAAATTTTAGAAATGATAATCCCACAACACCTTTCCGCTACAACGTCTTCGTCGGCTTGCACTCATTTTGCGACGTATTTTTCGGCGATTTTCAATGGTACGCTGCTGATTTTGATTATTTTTCACACCTCGAAGTCGTTCAGAGTTACCCATAATACTGGGATGGTAGCGAAAGCTTAAGAGTATCAGAAGCCAAGCACTTTACTCATGACGGCCTCAGGAATTGTTGTTGGGAGGTTGCGCTGGGTTGGTCATGTGTCGGTAAGTTTTTATGAGTTCCCCAGCTACCGTAAGCTTTTCAGCTAATGCAAATCTAAAATGACAACATTTAAAAGCATTACTTACTTTATTTTGCAGCATCATCCCAATTGGCTACACATTGGTCTATCAATTCCATGGTATATGCCGAAAAAATATCAACTCAATTTCTGCCTCGTCGCGCATTCAGTAATGGCGCATTGTATTTCATATACCTATACGATATTGCCTTTATCATTTTGGTACGTTTTGCGCGCGCGTATTTCGGGTATCTTCTGGCACCGCAACACCCAGAATAGCTGGGCTACATAAAATTAGCGTGCGAAGCTTGAGTCAAGCTTGCGGTAAAAGACCAAACTTCAGGTACCGGAATCCAGGTGATTACTGAATCAGCGCCGAAGCCGTGGACGTCGGCATTTTTGTGTTTTTATTAGTCTATGCGCCAGCTGGGGTTACTGTAGTAAGTTTTTGGTATGGAAACGGGACGTCAATCCAAAGCCAACTGTCAAAAAATTATCAAAAGACTTTCGATACGAAAAATTCTCTAGAATCTAGAATCTAGCATTTTAAATGAATTAAAACAAATGCAATCGAAGTATTTTAAAGTCGCAAGGAACTTTAAATATGTGTTTAGCTAAAAATAATCGAAAAATGTTTTCTATTCAAAAATTGCCTAAAAATCTGAATCTAGAATTGTTATAATGAACTAAAACAAATAATATCAAAATTATCCTAAACTCGATAGTTACATTAAATATATGTTTAGGCCCTCCACATCCAAGCCCTTCTTTCCAACGACCCGGAAGTAATCTACAAAATTTATGAAGCAGGATATCCAGAACCTCTATTTCCGGCTAACAAAAGCTTGTCAGTCGTATCGGGGTATCGCGATGTCCGAGAATTAAAGTAAACTTTTTATGAGGGTTTTTAACGTGTTTTAGCATTATAATCCTACTAGCATGGCTGTGTATCCCGGTGTGGCCCGGATACATCATATCCATTTACTACCGCCAGAAAATTATCAAAAATTGTGGAGCAACACTGGGATGAGCCGATCTACGTTGGTAGCGCAGCGGAAGTTGGTAAAGGTATGTAAAGGTACCTTAAAAACCATGCGCAAAATGGCAAGCTAGCAGAGGAGTTTGAGGAATTTGAGAGAGAAATTTCCGACAATAATTCGGAAACGGCGTCGCAAAATGAAAAAGCTCCTTTTAGGCCCTAACTATTCAAATGATACTGCCGATATTATGCCTGACCGATTCTGGAACGTTCCTCTGGCAGCAATTTAAATTACCGTAAGCTGGCTTCCTAAAAATAAACATTTCCAGTTTTTTTCAGCCTAATTGACACATCCCGTTTTTTGAGGAATATATCTTCTTGACGGTCGCCATGGTGAGTCATTTTTCTATTAAACGTAAAAATATATTTTTAGAGCAGCGCTTTTAGCCCTGTAATAACAATTTACACGTGCAACCGTATCGCCGGAAAATCATGGAATGGATATTTTTTGGCAGAAAGGCAACAGTAAGTTCGTCTACACAACAAGCAATTTCAAGACCATGGAGACCGCGGAGGGCTCAAAGAACTCGAAATTCCTTGTATAGTACTGCTCGATTTTAAATTTATTTTTTTCCGATAAAGCCTATAAAGTAGCAACTCTATATACGACATCGAATTTGCGCGGCAACGCTGCGGTACGCAAGGTATACAACCCCACAGCCGCCCTGATGTTTTGCTTGCATCGGAAAGCCTGACCGTACGCTTATTTGGCGTGTAGCGTAATAGGCTTGCTAGTAGGCTAGCGTAGCTGGCCGCCACCTGACTGGTATACCATAAAATCACGATTGCGTAACACGACCCGCGACGAGGAAAGGCAAAAATTGGCTTCAGAAGCTTACTTTTTGAATAGTTTTCAAATTCATCAAACATAAAGGCTGGTTTAATTTACTTTGGAGAGTGATTGGTGCGCCATACGCGACCCAGCGGGCGAAACGACAAACTCAACACGTCACGCGGCCGACCGAGACTACGAATTAATATTATATGCTGCCTACTACTTCATGATTTCGGCTTGAACCAGTCGCCCGAGCATACAAAAAAGCGCTTGTAACCTCACGCCAGAACTGGAACGCATCTTATAGATTTACTAACGTTATACCGAAAATTGATTATGCAGAAAACCATTACGCAGAAATCCATTATGCCGAAAATACATTATGCAGAAAACCATTACGTAGAAACCCATTATATCGAAATTTCAATACACAGAAATTTCAATACGCAGAAATCCGTTACACAGAAAACCATTATACAGAAAAACCAATACGCAGAAATACATTGGCTAGGAAAATTCATTACGCAGAAGACCATTACACCCTAAATTTCCGTACAAGAAAAAATTCTCTTTGCTGGAAATTTCCGAGTTGATGACAACGCATCATAAGGCAAAAAATTTGGTGGATAAAATCCGGGAAAGTTAGCAAACAGGGTTCGGAGAAGGTCTTCAAAATTTATTCCAAGAAGTCTAGAGAGGAGGGTGAGTATCGGGAATCACGCACAATTTTCGAACCGATAAGTCTATCTGACTGGGTAAAGTCCGCGAGTCAATGATGGAAACAACCTCAACGACCGCGGATACAACTTTTTTTGTATATAGAATCTTATGGGAGTGGAACGGTTGGGGTAACAAATTTCTGCGAAGTATTTTTTCTATATAATGAATTTCTGCGTAATAGTTTTTTGCGTAGTGATTTTCTGTGTAATGGGATTTCGGTATAATGAAATTTCGGTCTAATGGATTTCGGCTTAATGGATTTCGCGTAATGGATTTTCTGCGTAATGTTAATTGCCCCATCTTATACATTGAATCCTTGAATGCCAAGCAAAATTGCTAGAACGCATTGCGGGAAAAGGGTAGTACGACCACAAAATATAATGTAACTCGATCTTTTAAAAAAACCCGGGCGGAACAGTGCTATATGTGTAAAACCACTCTCATTAATTTCCTTGATCCCATTGATCAGGGCTACAAAGCCTATGGGCGTTGTGCCGAGATCTCGTCGTTCCCATTTGCTCCTATTAGCTGCGTGAGAGACATGGCGGTTTTTCATTACCAACGACGCATTTTGCGTCTTCAAAAAAGCACCAACCGCCCACTTCCCCATTCTTGGGTTTCGAAAAGGCAGAAAAGATGAATTTGACGTTTACCCCGCTTCGAGCTACGATATTCACTACTGGGCATGCTGTAATTGATAGCTTTTCTATATTTTTGAATACCACGGTGTTGTTATTGATTATATTTTGTACGTCAAAAACTTTCCGAGCCTATGCGGTGATTCTTGCAAGGTAAGCGGTTCACTTGGCTTCTTAAACCTTAAAGGCGCAAAATTTTCTAAAAACCCCCCCCCCACCGGATTTTTTAACGTTATTCTAGGATGAATTACGCAGAATAATAACATTAGCCATAAAATGACTCTTAAATAGTGAAATTACTAAAATTGCCAAAAACTGACGAACCCAATTTCGAAGTCTTTAGCAACACGCTCGCCCAATCTATTATCGGTGCAGCAGCGATGATGACGATGACAAGGTAATCCATGAAAGAAGTATTTTGTATATTAATAAAATATAAATTAAGGCATTTAAAGAAAAATTATTAGCTTTAGAACAGTCCCAATCGGTACTGCCCTTATTTACTACTGTCATGGGCCTTGTCGGACAATATCTGACCGTTTTTGCATGATCAGTAAGTTGCGGATGGTACTCGCAAAGCTGATCGATAATTTAGATCAAGCATTAATGGCTGACCTAATACCCTATGATTACATGCTGCTGCCGTTCTCGTTTTGGTACTACATACCTTTGAATTCTCAAAAATCCCTGAGATTCAAGGTATCGCAACTACGTGCTCGGCAAACCAGCACCAAGTCCAAGAACGACAGCCCTCATCTGCCTTTTGCTCACGATTCCGTCGATATTATTGATTGTATGTCATTTAACACAAAGATCAACCAAAAAATGATTTAGATCAACCAAATCACCGGAGACTTTGATCCAAGCGTGCTACGAAACTTATTGGCTGAAAGAAAGCCCGAATCGCTATATCCCGACGACTTCAGTGTGGCTATCCCAATAGGACACGAGAATATTTATGAATTTCGGTGAGTAATCGATTGCACACATTTTTTAAGGGCGTGCCCTGAAAATAGCGGTATCTAAAAGAAAGCGAAGAGCGCACAAGCCCAAAACAGCAATCGGAGCATCGTGTAGTCAAACCAATTTTTTTCAGCGTATTTATCTTGATCCTCGGTGTGACTGTTCCGATGTTTCCAAGCTACGCCATATCCCTATACTATCGACGGAAAATATTGAAGAAGCTACACGAAAACGTACACATGAGCCGTCGTACGGTAGAAGCGCAGAAAAGCTTGTTAAAGGTATTCTATAACGTTTTTGTTACGCCAAGACTAAATGTAAGGTATCGCAGACCGGAATTGAATCAAATTTCCAATTCATAAGTACCCCAAAAAGTTGTAGTTTAGGCTCTCACGATCCAACTCGTGATCCCCTGCATAACCATGGCCGAGTCGAGCTCATATCTGTGGAAGCAGTTCGAGCTACCGTAAGCTTATTCTTAGTCGTTAAATTAATTTATGTTTTTAGTTTCTATGCCCAAATACCTTACTTTGAAGAATGGATCTGGCTGTCGATGTCGACGGTAAGGACATTTTTTTGGGATGATGAAACTTCTATGAGTTCTTAGATCAGCGCTCTAAACCCACTAGTAATCGTGTATCACGTATCGCCGTATCGGAAGAAAATTGTCGAGATTTTAAAATTTTGGAAGAAGACAAAAGACAACTACAAGCTACATCCGATTCCATCGAGTACCAGAGAGTCGCATTTGGAGCCGGAAAACGCGAGGAAGAGATCGAGGCAATACTTTTAATGGGAACGAACTGCAGATACAACGAGGAATAAACATTATATACCATACTAAGACTCTAAAAACGACTAGTAGTACTGACAATTCAATTAAATAACCAACTTTTTACGTTATTCGATGTTAAATCATGCGTTAGCTAAGATAAGCTAAAGAAACACAAGGGATAGCGTCCTACGACAGGCGCACAGAGTCGAAATGTCTAGAGGTGCGGCGCGTCGCTCAATTGACGGCTACACCGTGCCCCTTTCCACATTCACTCTTGGCGCGTTTCTGACATTTCAGTGATCAGAGCTTTGGATTGAGATAATTGACAGGCACTTGATTGACATTTACACGACGCTGTAAAAATTTGGCAAGAAAGAAAAGATATTTGATTTCAGTCTTTGATAATTTTTTCTATTGAAACTCGAATAAAATTCTAGCTCGCGGTTTTTTGATCTCCAGCTGCCTGGGATCACCTGAGCATCCAAAGTTCGTCGGGGCACCACCACCCATCGGCCTATTAAGTGCGATGCTCAAAAATCGGAACAGACCACAAAAAACCCGCACATTTCGTCGCTTCTCCCGACGTTGTGATAAGGAACACGGCTCCGATCTTTTGGGACTCTGGCCCGTAAATGGGCTCTTTTATGGGCCGGGCCAAACTGCGGGCACGGAACGCATCAGAAAACAATTCCAGGATTCGGGAACCAAAAACCATATGCGTTGTTTGTCAGCGATTCTGAAATCAAGATCGGGGATCCGGAACGAAAGATGTATGTCGCGACTCCATGCGAGGAGGGGCGGAATTTCCGTGAGCAAAACCCGCGCAGGGTCAGGGCCAGAACTTTGGCAACACTTCGATAGAGGGATTTTTCAAGGTTTTGCTTAGAGTGAGATGATAGAAGAGAGAAGCAGAGAGCATCACTATGAAGCTATGCGTGATGCGAATTGATCGGGGCGCAATATGCATGGTCTTCCAGAGCCTAAAAGCAAGCAGAAGTCCAGTTTCAAAATTGCTGCACATCTTCGGATCCAATGGACGACCTCATTTAGTTAAGTTCGGTTGAATTCAGATGTGGTGAGCTGATGTGATTTAATGGTCTTGACTTTTGCCGAATGGGTGATGGTGCCCATGTTCTTTGGTGAAAAGAAATTGCAGGGCGGCAATTGAAACGCATTCAAATTCGAAAAGAGCGATTATAGGCGCAAGCTTCCGGTGCGTCCTGGTTTATGAGGGTTAAGGTTAGATTATTGAGCACTCGTCGACAATAATTTTTGGCGCGTCTGTAAAACGAGCAGCAAGCTTTTTGCATATTGAAAGCGTAGTTTTTTCCCACATTGAGTCCTTTACCGCTTCGAGGTGATTTTGAAGTTTTCAAACACGAAATATCCTTCCAGTTCGCTAAAGAAAAAACCCCATCAACGTATCGTGCTCGGAGCATGCTAAGGTCTGAAGGTGACCGTATAAACCGTGTTTCCAAATTTCATGCGTCGATTTCAATATCCAGCTTGTCAAATCCAAAAAGGGCGTTTGAACATCTCCTTTGAACCACATTTTCCAGAAACACCAAGGTCTCGTACTAACGGTTCTCAACAAAAACGTATCTTCCCTGTTCAGGGCCCAATTCTCATATCGGCTTCGTCGTTTTTCTGCTTTCAACGAATTCCAAACCCCAAATCTATCTATAGACACCGTAGCCTCCGGGTCTCCCGAACCTTGCCTGATAACCATACATAAAATTTTTGTGTCCGTTGATCAGCCAACAGAGCGAGGAAGCCCGACACCGAAAAGCCGAAAAATACACCCGGGGGTTCTTCCCGTTTACGAGGAACAGGTCAGCTTTTAGGGTCGCTGATAGCACTTTTAGGGCCACAGTGATCATGGAAAAACGTTTTTCGGGAACCCCTCCATGGCACCGTATAAATAGGAACGCCGTGGAAGGGGCAGGTCAGATTCCGGAACTTTCGGGGCCTTTGAGGATTTCGATACCGTATCTTTGGGATTACTGTAGTCGTTATTTTAAGATAATGGTCTAGTATATTCGATATTTTTGTAATAACAGAGCAAATACTAAGAAGGTTAAGTAATCCTTTGGCCGTTTTCGTACCTGAACCGCCCAAAAAAAAAATCAAGTTCTCGGGAAAACAAACAGATACCCAAAATACGCGAACAAACTGTGTACATCTGGAAGCAAGAGTATGCTGAGGATTATGGCATTTCGGTCTAGATTTTTGATTTTTTAAATAACCTAACAAAATTGCATTTTCCCAATTCTTTGAACTATTTTATGACAGCTCAAATTCCAATTTTTAATTTACGTTTAATTACCAGTCAAATTAGATCAGATTAACTTTGAAAAAAATTTATAGCTTCAGTTTTCTTAACATTTTGTTTTTCCTGAAAAAGGTGAAAAGGCCTGGTTTTTCAGGTCAACCATGAAGACCCCGCTTGGACTTTTGCTGCTCGCCAGCTCGGTGACAGCACTTACAATTGCGTGCCGGAGAACTCGGTAAAAAATCTAAATGTTGCTTATTTTACTGTAATTTTCAGACCTCCTACAAATTCCCGAAGGGCTTTCTGTGGAGTACCGCCACCTCGGCCTACCAGATCGAGGGCGGAGCCTGGGAGGATGGAAAGGGTCTCTCGATCTGGGACTCATACACCCATACTGCGGGAAAGGCATGGTTTTTGTAGAAAATTTATGAAACAAACATCCTCGAAAGTCTTATTGATGACTTTACAATTGAAGGCTTTGTTAAAGTACCACTTTAGGTCTCCGACAACAACACCGGTGATGTCGCCTGCGACAGCTACCACCTCTACGAGAGCGACTTTGCCATCCTGAAGCAACTTGGCGTCAAGTCGTACCGCTTCTCGATCTCGTGGCCTCGCATTCTGCCCACCGGCCTCAAGGAGAGCAAGAACCAGAAGGGCATCGACTACTACCACAAGATCATCGACGGACTTATTCGCAATGGCATCATCCCCGTTGTGGGTTTTCCAGATGTTTTTAGCATATCTCTCTCCGTCTTTCTCTCACTCTCTCTGTCACTCTCTCTGTCTCGTTCTCTCTCTATCTCTCGCTCGCTCCGCGGTATCACGTCTTTGCATGGTCCGTCAAAAAAATCTACTCGGTTTTGTAGGTTACCATGTATCACTGGGACATGCCGCAACACCTGATGGACCAAGGAGGCTGGCTGAACCCCCAGGTAAAGATGATGAACCTTGGAGTATATTGGCCATCAATATTTTTCCTATTTTCGACTTTTTTTTGGCCCTGTTTTAGTGAATCACAAAATATCTTTATCGCTTGAACCATAGCTCAAAAAAATTTAACTTAAAAAATTTATAGCAAAAATAGCGATGCCTAGAAAGCTGGCTTACGGGATTATCGACATTTTTCGGTATTTTGAAGGCACAATTCGACAGCGCATCGAAAATATACTAAGAAATATAATTTCAGCTCAAAATCATGAAAATAACATAGTTAAGGTCTAGATTTACACCTGGTTTTGACATGGTGGCTTTGACATAGCCACTTTTCAACGTTTTCGATACAAATTTCTTCAACTCCAGTCGATAGGCAAGCATAAAATATACCAAAAGCCTTAATTTCAGCTCAAAATAACGTAAAATATCGAAGTTATGGCAACGAAAGCAACAAAAAAACACTGTAAGGTTATACGAAAATTTTTCAGATCAGCACCTGGTTTGCCGACTACGCCGAGATCCTCTTCCAGGCCTATGGACATAAGGTAATGCAAAGCTTTAGTTTTTTTCTACCTTTCTCTAGAACCGATGACGCCTCTAGCACCGCTCACTTCTCATTTTCCAGGTCCCGTACTGGATCACGATCAACGAGGCCAAGTCGGAGACGCTGTACGCCTACTGCGGCACCATCTCGAACCACGCGCCCGGTGGCTTCAAGGAGCACTGCAAGTGGGCCCCCTACCAGGCTGGACACAACATGATCCTCGCCCACGCCAAGGCGTACAAGCGGTTCGAGTGGTGCATCAAGTGCCGGTTGACTGGAGGTAACTAGTTCGGAGAACTGAAGGTATTGTGAGACGTACGCTACACGTTCATAGTGAGGGGAATGATCCATCTGCCCCATTTAGCCAAGGTCGGAATCACGAACGTCAACGGCTGGACCGTCCCTGCTGCCGGTGTCGACCAGAGCGTCGCTGATCGCATCAACCAGATGCAGAACTACTGGTTCATCCACCCCTTCTTCACTGGTAAGTAATAATAGAGTGAACGCTCCATGTAGGGCCCAAGACGCAAGTTTGAGTACGCAGAACCAAGGCTCGAAGGCGTACGTACGCGCCAAGTGGTATATGTTGCGGTTACGTATCCTGTAGCGCGTTGAGCTTTGAAGGTGCGCTCATCGTGGTGTACGCTGAAGTACGCATCCTGTAGCGTTCTCTGAAATGCGAAGACATCAGAACGTACTTTGATGTACGTGTCTTATAGTGTACATCGAGCTACATCCGGTCAGTGTATGCTAAGGTACGCATCCTGTAGCGTTCTTTGGCATACGAAAACTCCAGTACGTACCTTGATGTACGTGGGACTTAGAAGTATAGTAGTAGTTGTTGATATAACTTGAGATACGATACGTACCTTATTTATTATTTATTTATTTTATTTATTTATTCTCACACAAGGTTAACAAAGTCAACGCTTACAGTATGAGGAATCGGGCGTAAATAGGGTGATGGAGGGGAAAGTTAAATAAAGGGAAATTAGGATTAATAAGATTCTGAAGATATGTGAAGGGGGAATGGAATAGGAGACTAGATTGATGAGAACACGATCACAGTAGATAGGAGACGGGGATAAGGCGGGAAAGATGATTTTTGAAGGCTTTCTTAGACGGACTATCAATATACATATTATTGTACGCATCCAGTGACGTACGTTGAAGTACGCGCCATATATGTTACCTTCCTGTACGTACAATAAATTGTACATTACGATACGCACCATGTAGGCCATCAGGTGTACCTGGACGCACATTTCATGTAATTTTAGACCTGACTAGATTTCCTAGACAGACGACACCTTAAATTTCAGGAGAGTACCCGCCTCGTCTCCGCCAGCAGGTCGACAAGCTGTCCAAGCAGGAAAACCGCACCGTCAGCCGTCTGCCGCACTTCACCGAGGCCGAGCAGAAGTACATCAAGGGTCCGCAGGCTACTTTATTTATGCTTACCTGGTGCCACGTACACCGGCAGTGACGCACTATAGTGTGCCTCAACTGAGGGCGCCTCATTACAATGATCATCGCTTGATTTTCAGGAACCGTCGACTTCTTCGGCTTCAACTACTACATCACTCTCGTCGCTACCCCGATTGCTGTAAGTGATAATGCATATCTGAACTCACATTTTTTCAGAACTACTCCACCGCCACCAGCTGGTACAACTTTGACTGTATGGCTTCTGGTACCTACTTGCCTGACGATGTTGCTCCGCGGTAGATTACTTTCTTTCTCAAAAACGGTTTTCTGTTACAGCGTCCCCGGAGGATGGGTGAGCACTTACGCCGAGGGCATGTATGCCTCGCTGGTTGATGTAGGTCTTAAAATTAGAATAAACAGAGAGCGAGAGAAAGAGAGAGAAAAGAGAGAGACAGGGAGAGAGACTTACAAAAGGGGGAGAGATTGCGAGAAAACGCGAGACGATGAGAGAGAGCGAGAGAGAGCGCCAGAGCGAGAGAGCAAATGGATCGACTGAGTGTGCTAGAAATGAAGAGAGAGCGGAAGATTGCGAGAGAGACAGAGAGAAAGAGAGAGAAAGCCAGAAAAAAGATACAGAGCAAACCACAAACTAGAAAAACCTTTTCAGCTCTACACCCGCTACAAGAAACCGATCTTCATCACCGAGAACGGAGCCATGGATGCGCAGGTGAAATTTAGTGGTTAAAAAGTGGAATTCAGCCCTCAGTATATTTTTAAATGTTAGATTTTGGCATTAAACCAACTGAAAATCACTGAAAATCTTCTAAGAATTCTGTCCAATGGGGCTGATACCGCATCCTTCAGCCAACCCCCGGCGTCTACCCGGAGGGCCTAAACGACGTCTTCCGCACCCGCTACATCAAGGAGCACATCACCGCCGTCGGCAAGGGTATAGTTTTTTGATTAATCGGTATAAGAGGATACAAATTTTGCAGTTGTACACGATTTCACGAAGTTTAAAACGGGTCCAACTTCAATTTGTTTAGCCCTCAAGAACGGCGTTGACATCATGGGCTACACCGTGTGGTCGCTGATGGACAACTTTGAGTGGACGGCCGGCCTCGGCACCAAGTTCGGCCTGTACCATGTAAGTTCTCAACTCAGAGTTGATAGTTTTCGGAAAAAGTTATGAAATTAAATTTTACGCTGTATTGATTTTCTAGGTCGACTTCACCTCGCCAGCCAAGACCCGTACCCCGAAGGCCTCGGCCATCTAGTACAAGAACCTCGTCGCGCAGAACAAGATCGACCTCTGCTAGACCGAATTAGCACTAATAATACGCGCTTAATATTAATAATATTGACCTCATAATAAACCATTGCAGTTGATGAACAGTACCGTACTATGGGACTTAACTGGTATTAATGATAAACTTAATGCGAAATATCGCTTTTCGGGTTTTCGTTTCCCTTCGAATGGTACCTGCGAAATCACACAGTCCTTCAAAGTAACAGAAATGTTAAGTAAGCCGGTATTTTCTGTATTTCTGGAACGTATTTATGAGAAGCACTAACTCACCCTGACGCTCTAATCGGTTGTGAAAGTTCTACCTCAAAAAGTTTGGGCAGCCCTGATTGTGTCAAACTTCAGCTACACTTTACGTTACCCCCATGTGAAATGTTTTGGCTATAACTTTTTTATTTTACATTGTTGTAGGCATAAATTAGAATTATTAAATATAATAGCAAATATATAAATTATAGTATAATTTTCGACGCTATCGAATGGCAATGCAAAATCCCGCCAAAATAGCGAAATACCGAAAACGTTGAGTGCTTTTGGCGTGGGGCGAGGTCAACTAAAGCCTGACCCGGACCCTGAAACTGACTTCCACTATTCCGGCGACTTTGAATTAGCATTGTCCCCAATTTAAACATGTGGGCGACCATACAAACAGGTGCAAGTCTATGCAGCTGATTTTGTATTTTTATTTGTATCCAAGAGTAGGGCAAATGGGCGGCAGCCTTCTTTGGCAACCACCAATCTTTTCCACTAATTTTTCCGGATCTATTTACCCGGAAATCCTGGGTGGACTCGCTAATTTTGCCGAGATGCGACCCCTAAATTTCACTGGCTATCTGAATTTTGTGTTTTTCTTGGCTTTTCTGGATCGTGACGGTTTATAGATTTACTCAATTTTGCTTAGAATACAAGGAGAGTGAAGAGAGAAGTGAGAGAGACCGCGAGAGATTGAGAGTGATAAAAATAACCTAAACGACGTATTATTCAAGTTGCATTTGTTATTTTTAACCACAGTTAATCATATATATATATATACTTTATTCAGTAGTTGAATAAGAGTGGGGAGTGGGCAATGTGTGGTTTATAATCAACACATCTCTTGTACTGCCAAGCATTTCCGTTTACAGCCCGTTCTATGAATATCAAAAACCTCTTACAGGCCAGAAATCATATTCGAGGCAAGCTAGCAGAGATCCTTGTGGAAAATGTCAATTCGGATTGTTTTTCACTCTGGCATCAAATTTTGGATAAAAAGCTCTCACGTACCGAGTCCAGCGCGGAAATTGAATTCATTTCCGGAAAAATATGGACAAAACAAGGCTTGATCGGGTCTGGCTTGTTGAAAGTTTGCTAGAATTTTGTATGCTACTATGTGTAAATTAGACTATATTTTTAAGTTTCTAACGCGGTTCTTTTTAAATAACTGAGTCATCGATATCAGAATCATCCCAAGAAAGCGGCAGTTCAATCTTTACTCATATTCCCATCACCTTTTCACTTTTCCCACAACCATTATGAATTTGTGATGTTTCGAAAATTTGTGATGTCCACAAATTTTCGTCTTTTCGTTTTCAGTTTCCTTATGAGCCGAAAATATAGTTTTTTTAGATAAGATGATGATCCCCTTCACCCCGCTCCGGGCCACGATTTTCATGACTGCCCACGTTGTCTGCGATTGTTTTTCGATGCTATTTAATGGAACATTGCTGTATCTGATTCTGTTTTGTACTGCGAAGACTTTTAGGTCTTACTCGATTATTTTGGCGTGGTAAGTTTTAAGGTAGCGAGCGAGAGAGAGAGAGAGAGAGAGAGAGAGATTGAGAGAGAGCACGAAAGACACGTGCTTCCTTACATGCGGCGTTTTAGCGTTACCCTATCCGGAACTTGTACTCGGCTCATCAGCTGCTTTAGCAATGTCGAGGTTGTTTTATATCCTTAGCTCTAATGCTATCCGTTTTTATTGCATTCAGAGTCATCCCAATTGGCCGAAGTCTGGTTTATCAATTTCATGGAGCTTGTCGTTTTCTTTCTCGAATTTTTGTATGGCTGGCAAGTCCAATCGCTTTATCTCGCTCGCTCGCTCTCGTTCTCTCTCTTTTCTCTCTTTCCCTGTCTCTCACCGTCCCTCAAATTTATAGATTTTCAGTGCAATCAATCACGGCGCATTGTGTCCCCTATGATTTTATGCTATTGCCACTCTCATTTTGGTAAGCTCTAGCGCTTTCTCTGACAAGGAGTCGTTTTTAGGTGCTTTTGGAGTTTCAGGACGGGACCTAGCTAATTCGATAGAGAAAAAAATTTTGAGCAACATCCCGTTTTCAAAAAGTGCTGATCGATAAAGGTGTTTTAGAAAATTTAATTTAATTAAAAATGGTCTCCGGGGTCCGGACCCTTGTGGTGATTTGAGGTTATTTGCGGCGGTCGACCGCCCCCGCCACATGAGGACTCCACGCGCCTTAGATCCCGTCCTAGGCATGGCCAAGTGGCTAGTGCAATCGCCTGCGAATTTTTTTTTGACCTATTGCCACAAGTTCGATTCTTATTTATCGTTAACTCTTTGCTTTTTTGCTAATTAAAATTTTATGCACCGAAAAGGGGTTCAAGAACCAAAAAGCAAAGGGTTAGCGAGCGCGAAGATTCGAACCCGAGGCAAAAAATGTTAAAAAGTTGGTAGGCAAGCGCGCTACCAATACGCCAATGCAACCTGTCATGGAGGCATTGGCGGAGGGTTACGAATGGCGCCCTGCCCAGGCCCGAAAACGACGTGAACCGAGGAAATGGACCCGAAAACTAGAAAAAAAGCACGAACTTCAAATTAAATTTTCTAAAACAGCTTTATCGATCAGCACTTTTTGAAAACCGGATGTTACTCAAAATTTTTTCTCTATCGAACTAGCTAAGTCCCGTGCCGAAACTCCAAAAGCACCTAAAAGCGACTCCTTGTGAGCAATTTTTTAAGGTACCGCCACTACGTGCTCCATCATACCGCACCCAAACCTAGGAATGTAGGCTTAATGTGTTTTCTAATATATTTGCCCTCGTTCTTTGTAATGGTAAGTCCGTAAACAGCCGGAAATTTTGTGCGCTTCGGATTTCCGGAAACCTTATTCAAATTTAAAGCTTCAGCTCGACCAAGCCACTTCCGCTGATGATCCTATTCTTGTCCAGAAAATGCTGGCCGAACAAGGCCCTGGGTCTCTATATCCAAACGACACCAAGATAGCCGTTGTAATGGGAATTTTGATATGTACGAAATCAAGTAGAGGCCCTCTCTCTCTCTCTCTCTCTCTCTCTCTCTCTCTATCTCTCTCTCTCTGTATCTCTCTCTCTGTCTCTCTCTCTCTCTCTCCCTCCCTCTCTCTCTTTATTACTCTCTCTCTCACTGTCTCTCTCCTTTTCTCTTTGACCCGCTCTATCGTAGAAGTTTTTCAGAAACGCCCTCGTCTTGATCTGGATTTGTGTCCCGATTTTTCCATGCTATATCTTGTCGATTTATTTTCGGAGGAAGATCTTACAAACACTAAACACTAATAACGCCATGAGCCAGCATACGGTAGTTGCACAACGGAATCTGGTTACGGTAAAATAAATAGATTTCTGGGCTCAACACAATATTTTTAGGCATTGACTATACAAGCTGTATTGCCATTTTTCGCCATGACGCAGTCGACTTCCTATATGTCACATCAATTACAGATACCGTAGGCGCTTTTGAAACTGAAACCTTAATTTTGGTAATTTGTATCCTACTATATATAAAAAATAGTGTCTGTGTGTGTGTGTGTGTGTCGATTTGCATGCAACTTCCGTCTCTATGTCCGGAGGATAACTCAATAGGGGATGAATTTTATGGTGCGTATGATACATCATTAGGTGCGTAATGGCTCTGCGATGACTGCACACTTATCAGAATTGTGAAAATCAGCTATTTTCGATATTAAAAATAAGTTTTTCTAAAATTTTCGGGAACCCTCTTTGTTAGGAAACAATTAGCATCTACCGGAAGTAGAAGAAGCCTATATAAAGGGATGGAAGGACTTCTTTTCATTTTTATCAGCTTGATTGAGGCGGAATTATGCAAAGTTTACAATTTCATTTGTCCAAACGGGGCCAGGGTTGAAAAGTCGCGAAGCGGCTTTTCAACCCTGGTTGTTTATAAAAAGTTAAAAGCTAATATGACACGCAATTTCGTTAAAATTTAGAATATTTAGGTACCTCGAATTGCTGCCCTATTTCGAAGAATCGGTATTTTTATCGCTAGCAATGGTACGGTGATTGCATTTTTGCTAATTTTTCATACGATTTTTACTATTTTTGCCTGCTCCACATTTGTATAACTTCATTAGTATTTGCATCCTGCACTTCAATGAACAAGATTTATTTAGTTCTTAACCAGGGTTGAAAAGCCGCTTCGCGACTTTTCAACCCCGGCCTAATCTGATCCCATGATATTCTTCACTTTGCATATTCTCGCGATTTTCGATGGAAAAAACTGAGAAACGCTGCCTCTCTTCCCTTACATAGGCTACCTTGACTTCCGGCGTATGCTAATTGTTTCCTAACAAAGAGAGTGTCAGATTTTTCAACAATAACTTAATTTTAACGCCGAAAACAGCAAATTTTTGAAAATGTTATTAGTGTGCAGTCATCCCAAGGCCATTGAGTACCTAATGAGGTATAATACATGCCCCTAGCTAACCCCTTAATTGAGATACGACTGGAACAACCTGACGGAATTTGCATGCAAAGTGGCACACACACATACACACACAGACACTATTTTTTTATATATCCTACTATATATAAAAAAATAGTGTCTGTGTGTGTGTGTGTGCCACTTTGCATCCACTTCCGTCTGTCTGTCCGGAGGTTATCTCAAGAAGGGACGGGTATTAGGCTACGTATGATACGTCATTAGGTGCGTAATGGTCTAGGGATGACTGCACACATATCAGATTTTTAAAAATTAGC